ATGTAATGTGGATGGTAATGAAGCAAACACGGCGGCCACCTGGTGTATCCGCGCGTGACGCACCACGACGCACCGCTCTCATCACCCCGCCGCCTATCGCAGTTCTTCTGTTTTATGCAACCCGCTGAGACCGGAGCGGAGTACAGGGTTAAAGGAGAACTCCCCCATCTGCAGAACGCGTACGTCTGCGTGTACTGAATGACACCAATCCCCACGTTGTACTACCTGAGCGCCTCCCCCGCCCTCCCATACTTCCTGCAACATGAGACTGTCAGAGCTGAGGGGCATAAAACACCCGGAGACCTCACAGACAAGAGACTGCCGCCGTTCCCTCCTCATGTCAGAAGTCACTCCCGGCACCACGATCGTCAGCCTGATTTCAAAGTTTCTCATGTTGACGATGAACATTAGAGCAAAGGAAGTCTGGGATGCTCGGCGGGGAATCGAACGGCAAAGTGGAGATGTTGTCACCTCGAACCCGCGACTCCGTGTTTGCTGGAAGACCAATGAAGAGAGAGAGAGAGAGCTTACATTCGGACAGGGGTTGGCAACTTTGCCCCTCCAGCTGTGGTGAAACTACAAATCCCAGCATGCCTCTGGCTCCGGAAGTCATGCCTGTGGCTATCGGACACTTGCAGTGCATCGTGGGACTTGTAGTTCCAGAACAGTTGGGAGGTCTGAAATGGCCCACCTCTGCTCTGGGAGGTAAAACAGTGACCACAGCCTGCGATACCGCCGGCCGCCACTGGAGGGAGACTCGCCCGCATCCAGCCGGACACACACAGGCAGATACAAATCCCGCATACAATCTGCTCCCCGCTAAGAAGCAGCCAAGTGCAAACCTCCAGCCATCCCGCGCGCTGGATTCCTGGCGTGATCGCTATTCCCACTGCACACGCACCAGACATGCCCATCGAATTGCCAGACAGAGAAGCGTGATTGGTCCCTCCAGAGACCACGCCCCCACTTCTCTAGAGTCCAGTGGCGGCGTGCGTTACACCGCGGCATCCCACGCTTTGCATTGCACTCGGTGATGTGCGGCTTGGATGCAGCTGCTCGGCCATGGAAACCCATTGCATGAAGCTCTCTACGCTCTGTTGTTGCGCCAATCTGACGGCCGCATGGAGTTTGGAGGTCTGTAGCTATTGACTCTGCAGACAGTCGGCGACTTCTGCGCTTCGGCATGCCCAGCCCCCGCTCTGTCATGTGACGCGGCCGACCACTTCCTGGCTGAGTTGCTGTTGTTCCCGGTCGCTTCCACTTTGTTATAATCCCAGTAACAGGCGACCGCGGCGGAATGTTTAGTAGCCAGGAAATGTCACGGACGGACTTATCGCGCAGGTGACAACCTATCACGGCACCGCGCTTGTAGTCACCGAGCTCCTGAGAGCGACCCGTTCTCTCACCGATGTCTGTAGAAGCGTCTGCACGCCGAGGTGCCTCATCCTA